CACCCTAAAATGATTTTTTATGACATTTTTGTTTGAAACAGTGCTCATTCTTTTTGTTTCGTTTTTCAGAGTCAAGAAAAGTTTTTCTTTTTATTTGCAGCTTACAATACTTATGTAAAGTTTCCTTTTCTGAGTAAAATTGAAACAATTGCCTTTTATCTCTACCTGATTTCTCCAGAATTTGGAGAATAATTGTGAGTATTCTTAATCTATGGCAACATAATTATTTGTATAAGTCCAATAAGAATCTGTTTTCTTTCGTAACAGAACACAATTGGAGACACTGGTTATTTTACCAAGGATTTGAGTGGAATGGCTTATATTCAGATATGACCAGAATGCTTGGAGGAATTGAGATTGACTTTAGTTGATAAAATGCCCTTTGGGGCCCGGGCGCAGTGGCTCAAGCCTGTAATCCCAGCCATTCTGGTGAGGCCGAGACGGGCGCGATCACAAGGTCAGGAGATCGAGACTATCCTGGCTATCCCGGTGAAACCCCGTCTCTACTAACAAATACAAAAAACTAGCCGGCGAGGTGGCGGGTGCCTATAGTCCCAGCTACTCAGGAGGAAGGGCAGGAGAATGGTGTAAACCCAGGAGGCGAGCTCTCGCAGTGAGGCTGAGATCTCGCCACTGCACTCCAGCCCTGGAGAGACAAAGCGAGACTCCTGTCTCAAAAAAAAAAAAAAAAATAAATAAAAAAGGCCCTTTGGAAAGAACGGCCTGAGATACCTCGTTGTCTACTTGAATTCTTTACAAGACTCCCTGACCCCTGAGAGTAACGATAAAAGAATGTCCTCGACTTGGTTTGCTGAGTGTCCCACCAAACGTTCCTCATCTTGAATTCCCCACCAATGTTGTGGGATGACCCAGGGGGCCGAGGGTATTGAATCATGGGGTCAGGTCTTTCCCGTGCTGTTCTTGTGGTAGTGAATAAGTCTCATGAGGTCCGATGATAATATAAGGGGGAGTTTCCCTGCACGAGTTCTCTCTTTGCCTGCTGCCATCCATGTTAAGATGTGACTTGCTCCTTTCTGCCTTCTGCCTTGATTGTGAGGCCTCCTCAGCCATGTGAAACTATATTAAACCTTTTTTTTTTTTTTTTTAATTGCCCAGCCTTGGGTATGTCTTTATCAGCAGCATGAAAATGGACTAATACAGTCACTTTCTGATAGGCCCAGGAAACTAAAAATATTTTGGAACTTTGAGAAGGGAAGTTATACAGAATTCACACAGATATGACAAGCACTGTCTGATGCAAATTCTTGGCTTGGCTTCCTAGCCTAGAGAGACTTTTAAAAGCCTAGTCTGATATTCTTTATAAAAGGAAGTTCCAGCAATGCAAACTTCAAAAAACCTATATGAGGCTGGGTGCGGTGGCTCACACCTGTAATTCCAGCACTTTGGGAGGCTGAGACGGGCGGATCATGAGGTCAGGAGATCGAGACCAACCTGGCTAACGTGGTGAAACCCTGTCTCTACTAAAAATATATTTTAAAAAATTATCCTGGCTAACACGGTGAAACCCCGTCTCTACTAAAAATACAAAAAAATTAGCCAGGCGTGGTGGCGGGTGCCTGTAGTCCCAGCTACTAGGAAGGGAGGCTGAGACAGGCGAATGGCATGAACCCAGGAGGCAGAGCTTGCAGTGAGCCAAGATCGCGCCACTGTACTCCAGCCTGGGGGACAGAGTGAGACTCCATCTCCAAAAAAAAAAAAAAAAAAAGCCTATATGGCTAATCACTATTCTTGCTGCACTTAATGCAAATAATTGAGCCAAGTATAATAAGACTAAAATGTATTTTCAAATAAATTTGTCCTACTATGATTTGTCTTTGGTAGAAATGGGGGCCTAAAAACAGAGAAAAATTATGTTTCAGAAGAAAATCATAGTATACCTGTTATTAGATTCTAGCCCTGTGTGTTTGAATTTTTTATTATTTGCCTAAAATTTGGACTGAATCCTGAATTCTTTCCTGACCATAAGCCTCTGAACTAAAGTTTTCAATTATTTCTCCATTTTTCTGACTTGGAATCACTAGAAATTAAAATGCACTTTTCCTGAGTCCCTGTTACCCAAAACTAGACAACTTAATATAAACTTTGGGAGAGGCCAGGCACGGTGGCTCATGCCTGTAATCCCAGCACTTTGGGAGGCCGAAGTGGGTGGATCATTTGAGGTCAGGAGTTCGAGACCAGCCTGGCCCACATGGCAAAACCCCATCTCTACTAATAATACAAAAATTAGCCAGGCATGGTGGCGTGCACCTGCAGTCCCAGCTACTGGAGAGTCTGAGGGACAAGAGTTGCTTGAATCTGGGAAGCGGAGGTTGCAGTGAGCTGAAATTGTACCACTGCACTCCAGCCTCACACTGAAACTTGCAACAGACTGAAACTGTGTCTCAGAAAGCAAAAATAAAAACAACAACAACAGAAAACTTTGGGAAAAAGCACCAGAGCAACGTATATATAAACAGCTTTCATACTTGCTGATGTATGAACTACTAGGAGAGTTCACTTGAACACCTTATTTGTCTTTGTTTTTGTGAGACAGAGTCTCACTCTGTAGCCCAGACTTAGTGATTGGTGCGATCACAGCTCACTGCAGCCTCAAACTCTTGGGCTTAAGTGATCCTCCTACCTCAGCCTCCCTAGTAGCCGGGATTACAGGTGTGTGCTACCATGCCCGGCTATGTTTTTTGTATTTTTAGTGGAGACGGGGTTTCATCATGTTAGCCAGGCTGGTCTCAAATTCCTGGATGCAAATTATCCTCCTGCCTCGGCTTCCCAAAATGCTAGGGTTACAGCTGTGAGCCACTGCACTCGGCCTGAACACCTTATTAGAAATACAACCCAGAACAATCTGTCTGATCACCACTGCAATCTGTAGATGTTTTAGAGAACCTAGAAAAATAAGTTTATATACGATTGCATCTTTTTTTTTTTTTTTTTGAGACGGAGTCACGCTCCATTGCCCAGGCTGGAGTGCAGTGCCACGATCTCGGTTCACTGCAAGCTTTGCCTCCCGGGTTCAAGTCATTCTCCTGCCTCAGCCTCCCGAGTAGCTGGGACTACAGGCGCCCACCACCACGCCTGGCTAGTTTTTTGTATTTTTAGTAGAGACAGGGTTTCACTGTGTTAGCCAGGATGGTCTCGATTTCCTGACCTTGTGATCCGCCTGCCTCAGCCTCTCAAAGTGCTGAGATTACAGGCGTGAGCCACCACGCCCAGCCATACTATTCCATTCTTAACCTTGCTTTTCTTCTGTTTCCATAGAAATGCCTCTTATTAAAGATCCATTTGCCTGTCTCACATATAGAGGCCAAGCCCCCCAGCAATGCCACCTCCTAGAATGACACACAGCTATTCACAGGACTATAAGACTGACTCAAAGAGATATGGGACAGGGCCAGGCACGGTGGCTCATGCCTGTAATCTCAGCACTTTGAGAGGCCAAGACGGGCAGATCGCTTGAGTTCAGGAGTTCAAGACTAGCCCTAGGCAGCAGGGGGAAACCTCACCTCTACAAAAAATACAAAAATTAGCTGGATGTGATGGCATGTCCCTGTAGTCCCAGCTATGTGGGAGGCTGATGTGGGAGGCTGGCTTGATTACATGTGACGGAGCCCGCAGTGAGCCAAGATTGTGCCACTGCCCTCCAGCCTGGGCAACAAAAGCAAAACCCTGCCGTAAAATAAATAAACAAATACATAAGTAAATAATTAAAAAACATTTCTTTGTTGCTGCTTATCCCAATTTGTCTTTCCCCTCCTTTACCTCTCTATTATCTAACAACCTCTAATCCAAATCTCTCCAAAACTATCAACATGGCTTTTAGTTTCAAAGTGGGAGTTGAAGTAAATCAAAATATTTCACCCCAAAATATACTTCTCTGACATATTTTGAGATGACTATTCAGAGGGCCTGCAAACAGAAGTAGCCCTGCAAAGCTGTCCTTTGTAGGGGATAGATTTGCGTTTGTAGAGAAAGTATGTATTGATACTGCCAGGCTTTCTCTGAAGCGTTCCCTTCTCTGGATCTAGAAAAGATTAACCAAGAGGCTGACACCTTTGACGTTCTAAAGGGAATATTGCCATTCCTTCTCTCTAAGGGCTGCTACCTGTGAGATTTCATCTATACAACATGACCATTTTTGCCAGCTTAGCCTCTTCTTCTACCTCTCTCATAACCTGTTTTACTGCAATCCAAGCCCCTATTTTTTTTTTTTTTTTTTTGAGACAGGGTCTCGCTCTGTCACCCAGGCTGGAATGCAGTGGTGTGATCAAAGCTTATTGCAGCCTTGACCTCCTGGGCCCAAATGATTCTCTCATTTCAGTCTCCCAAGCATCTGGGGTCACAGTTGCATGCCACCACATCTGTCCATTTTTTTTTATTTTTTAAAGTTTTATTATTTATTTATTTATTTATTTTGAGGTGGAGTTTTGCTCTTGTAGCCCAGGCTGGAGCCCAGTGGCGTGATCTTGGCTCACTGCAACCTCCGCCTCCCGAGTTCAAGCGCTTCTCTTGTCTCAGCCTCCCGAATAGCTGGAGTTACAGGTGCCCGCCACCATGCCTAGCTAATTTTTGTATTTTTCGTAGAGACGGGGTTTCACCACGTCAGCTAGGCTGGGCTTGAACTCCTGACCTCAAGTGATCCACCCGCCTTGGCCTCCCAAAGTGCTGGGATTACAGGTGTGAGCCACTTGAGAGGCTGAGGTGGGGGAATCGCTTGAGCCTGGGAGGATGAGGCTGCAGTGAGCCATAACTGCGCCACTGTACTCCAGCCTGGGCAACAGAGCAACACCATCTAAAAAATAATACTGTTTTTTGTTATCAGCATCCCAACTAATAACTCAAAAAGGGGGAGTGGAAATTATTATTTTTTCTCTCCTACAGTTCTGGTGAGGAGGATGGGACTGCCAGGATACCCTACTCAGTCTGGAGCCAGCACATAATGCCCTTGGAAAGCTGGCAAAAGCTGGCAAAGATAGAATCCTTACCATATCAGCTTTCTCACATCTGTCTGTCGTGCCCAGTCAAGAGTGGACGGTAAACATTTCTGGTAGTCACTTCCTTTCTAAATCAGATTAAAAGGAGAGAAACACATTTGTAAGCATTAGTTCTTTGAAGTCTGAATTTTATAAATTTGGTGTTAGGGTACCCATTGGTTATTAATCCTTACCCTCCCGGAGAATGGCTATTGGTTTTCTGTCGTCTTTTGTGTCCTGACAGTTTGGGTTGGCTGTCTGCCTGTTGGGGTTTGTGGGTTATTGAGCCTACATGTGCAGGCAGCCAGTCATGTTTGAGGCTCTGAGAACATGGCCAGGTGGAAATGTGGGTTGCACCTTGTTTTTAGCTGGCATCCTGCTGACTATGGCCAACTCTTCAGTGGGCTGTCTAAATCTTCGGCTATCTTTGGGAGTAGCTCTGGATCTTGGGAAGACAATATCTTTTGCAGTTTGGGGACACTTATTGTATCCAGGATTAAACCATAAAATGCTTCTTGATTTTAAATCATAAAAGACTTATACTGATTTTGGTCTTGAGTCACTTCACAGATATACCATTGTTTTATATAAAAGGAAAAACTACTTTTACAAACCAGTTTTAAAACTCTTCAACAGCGTCAAGACTATTTACTGCATATCAGCTGAAACCTGATAATATTATTGAAATACTTTTTTTAAAGGCGCAATATGGGCAGAAGTTGGCCAGATTGCATAGCTGGGCTTGGTGGCGCGTGCCTGTAGTCCTAGCTTCTTGGGAGGATGAAGTGGGAGGAGAGCTTGAGCCCAGGAGTTTGAAGCTGCAGTGAGTCATGATTGCGCCACTGTACTCCAGCCTGGGCGACAGAGTGAGGGCCCATCTCAAAAGATATTTAAAGAATTAAAAACATTAAAAGCTCAAAATTCATGCCGTTTAAAATGGTTCTTTAGGACACTAGTCAGCTATCTTCTCAGTTTCTTGGCTCTCTGAAATAAAATCGCTTTTCTTGCCCCAGCACTTTGTATCTTAACTTACTGGCTGATAGGTGGTGAGCAGTACAAGCTTTGGACTCAGCTATGTTAGCTGGAGTGCAAGCAGGGCACACGCAGATGAGACTTCATCCACCTCACGTAGCTTTCCCAAGCCTTGGAGGACTGACTTGTGTTGTTCCTTGCTGCCTCTCTGTAGGTAATAAATCTGCTCCATGTAACTTGTGTGTGTGTGTTCACCTTGCCAGCATCATACGAGTTGATAACCAGTGAGTGCATAGTGAAACTGCTTCACAGAAAGCTATGTGTCTATCTACATGTATGTAGGTATGTTATATATATGAACTATTTTTCTACCTCCAGATGATAATGCCAAAATTAATTCGTAAAAGAGCTCTGCTTAATTGGCTTAAAGAAAAATAAATGGTTGCAAAAATTAAGTATTCCTAAAACTCTCAGAAATAGAGAAACTAATCCAAATGTCTTTCAAGTTCACATCATCTGGGATAATCTCTGGTAAATAAAGCTAGTTGATATTTGATTTAATTAAGATAGGCGTATCTTCAGAATTGTCAATATTAAATATAATATAGACATACAACTTATTTGACCTAGGCTTACTAGTGAAGTATGCTGCTGGTTTTTTTCTGTTTTTTTTTTTTTTGAGACAGATTCTCGCTCTGTTGCCCAGGCTGGAGTGCAGTGGTGCGATCTCAGCTCACTGCAACCTCCGTCTCCCGGGTTCAAGCGATTCTCTTGCCTCAGCTTCCTGAGTAGCTGGGATTATAGGCGCCCACCACCCTGCCTAGTTTTTGTATTTTTAGTAGAGACAGGGTTTTATCATGTTGGCCAGGCTGGTCTCAAACTCCTGACCTCAAGTTATTGCCCCCACCCCTGCCCCCGCTTCCTCCACACACATCGGCCTCCCAAAGTGCTGGGATTATAGTGAGCCACGGCACGTGCCCATTCATTCTTCATTCAACAGGTAATCAGTAGCAGGAAATGGCCTAGACAGGGGGTGTCCAAGAGAGAGAACACAGTCATGGGTTCTTAGTTTCTGTTTCTGGTTAGGCTAATAAAGCCCCTTCTTCATCTCTCTTTTCTGCATTTCACTAGAGACAGAAACTAAAAATCATAGCTCCAGGTTGCTAAAAGTCTAAAACAAAACAGAACAGAACATGAACAACAAAATTAAGGTAGGTTGGATGAGTTGGCCTGCAGGGTGGAACTGATGGGTGTACTGAGGAATGGAATGGGAAGTCTGTGCTGGTTATTGGTGTTTTGCCTCCAGCTCCAAAGCCATTCTTTTTTGCCTGCTCTGTGAAAATGTATCTGGGCCTTTTAAGCATTTTTTAATTTTGTTCCTTTGCCATCTGGCACTACGTTGTCAGTAGAGGCCGGGAAGAGTGATTGCAGGAGGAAAAGGGTTTTGCTTCCTGGTTCCACTGCCCGCTCTGCAGGCCCCTGTGGTGTGCGAGGCCTGCCCTAGCACCAAGCTTCTGCAGTGGATGGGGTTTCCCAGTGCCTCATGCCAGCAGCTATTGTGGCTTCTCCAGCACAGCTCCTTCAGTGCTTGAAGCTTCTCCAGACTCCGGCAGCACACCTGGATTCCTCAGTATCTGTCTCTTGCAATGTGTAACCAGCAGCACCTAGTACAGTAGCTTTCCCCTGTATCCCCTTCTGATGCTTTTGTAGCAACGCGTCTGCACTGAGATACTTCTGAACAGCCTTCCCCCCAGCATCCCAAAAGACAGATTTCTAGTGTGTTCCACTGGCATGGCACCTCAGTGAGGTCTCTGATATTTAGTGAGTCATAGCCATGCTTCTCCAGCAAGGCCTATATCTCAGCCCAGGGGAAAGTACCCCATCTCAGCCCTGGGGTGGTGGCTTTTTATATTTGCCACGCGCATCCATGTAAAGAAACCACCAAACAGGCTTTGTGTGAACGATAAAGCTTTTTAATCACCTGGGTGCAGGTGGGCTAAGTCCGAAAAGAGAGTCAGCAAAGGGAGTTAGGGGTGGAACAGTTTTATAGGATTTGGGTAGGTAGTGGAAAATAATAGTCAAAGGGGGTTGTCTTGCAGGCGGGTGGGGGCGGCGGGGTGGGGGGGGAAGTGGGGGAGCTTGTGAGCCAGGAGAAGGAATTTACAAGTTAATATCATCAGTTAAGGCAGGAACCGGCCATTTTTCATTTCTTTTGTAATTCTTCAGTTGCCTCAGGCCATCTAGATGTATCCGTGCAGGCTTGGGCTCAGAGGCCTGACAATATTAATCTCCCATTATCACATCAATTATATCTGCTATTCCTATATTAATTTGAGTTATCTTTATTTCTTACTACCCAACCTCTGGTTACTCTGTCTAATTCCATGTTATGGTTAATAATTTTTTTTTTTTTTTGAGATGAAGTCTCACTCTTGTCCCCCAGGCTGGAGTGTAATGGCGTGATCTCGGCTCACTGCAACCTCCGCCTCTTGGATTCAAGCGATTCTCCTGCCTCAGCCTCCCGAATAGCTGGGACTACAGACGACTGCCACCACGCCCGGCTAATTTTTGTATTTTTAGTAGAGACAGGATTTCACCGTCTTTGCCAGGCTGGTCTCAAACTCCTGACCTCAGGTGATCCGCCCCCCTCAGCCTCCCAAAGTGCTGGGATTACAGGCTTGAGCCACCACACCCGGTCTATGGTTAATAATTCTTTATATTAAACTTTTTTCTATTTGAACTACTGTTTTTTATCTCTCTCTTGATGGGACTGAGACTGATACAATACATTTATTCATTCTGGCCAAAGACAAGAAGACATGGGTTTTGGATGGGTGTGGACTTATGCCCTGTAATCCCAGCACTTTGGGGAGCCAAGGTGGGATGTTTGCTTGAGCCCAGGAGTTCAAGACCATTAATTAATGAGTTAAATAAAAACTTGGACATCTGTTTGTTTTATATTTGTATGAGTATCATTTTACCTTTAAAAAAAAAATCTTTCAACAGTGACCAGCAATAGAATCCTGCAAAGAGAATGGCTTCATCATTTGGGGAGGACCATACAGAAGGGGAGGCAGGGCAACTTAGTGAGATCCTGCCTCTACAAAAAATTTTAAAATTAGCTGGGCATGATGGTGTGCACATGTAGTCCCAGCTACTCGGGAGGCTGAGGTGGGAAGATCACTTGAGCTCAGGAGGTTGAGGCTGCACTGAGCCATGATTGCACCACTGCACTCTAGTCTGGGTGACAGAGTGAGAGCCTGTCTTAAAGAAACAAACAAACAAACAAAACCAGGGGTCATGTGCCACAAGAGCTCATAGTCTAGTGGGTGGAGGAACAAGAAAACAGATAACAGTGTAAGGAAACACAAGGGGCTATAACTGAGATATGACTACAACCTATGGAGGTCCAGCAAGGGAGCTGAAGGAGCTGAGGTTTTCCCTTTTTTTTTTAAATAAAAAAAATTTTTTGGCCAGGTGCAGTGGTGCCAGTAATCCCAGCACTTTGAGAGGCCGAGACGGGCGGATCACCTGAGCTTAGGAGTTCAAGACCAGCCTGGCCAACATGGTGAAGCCCCATCTCTACTAAAAATACAAAAGCTTAGGAGTTCAAGACCAGCCTGGCCAACATGGTGAAGCCCCATCTCTACTAAAAATACAAAAAATTATCTGGGCGTGGTGGTGGCAGGGGGTGGGGGGTGGGTAATGAGAGAGGAGAATCGCTTCAACTCGGGAGATTGCAGTAAGCCGAGACTGTGCCACTGCACTCTAGCCTAGGTGACAAAGCAAGACTGTATCAAAAAAAAAAAAAAAATTAAATTTAGAGACAGGTTCTCACTATATTGCCCAGGCTGGTCTTGAACACCTGGGCTCAAGAGGTCCTCCAGCCTTAGCCTCCCAAAGTGTTGGAATTACAGGCGTGAGCCACTGCGGTGGCCCAGGGTTTTGCTCTCAATCTGCTCTTTTGACTACGGCAGCTGGAGAGCCCATGAGGAAAAGAACCAGAGACCAGTTTGGGACAGTGGTAGGAGCCTGATAATGTCCCGGTGGCCGTGTGGTTTCTAGCCTATTTTCAACTGAAGGTGTCAGAAAAAACTCTGAAAGACTTTGGAACGGG